GTACCTGGACCCGCCTACTATCCTCGGAAACGTAAAATGATTGGCTAGAATCTAAAGTGTATCACAGCTCAGGGAAAAAAAGCACCGAAATGTGCGCTGCTTTTCGGTCTGGTTACTACCGTTTATGACAGAACCGGTGCCATGATGGCACCGGATACTGGTACCCATCCCTACTGCCAAATCACAACAATAGTCACCTCGGGGTGCTTAATATTGTACCAAACACTTGCTGACAGTGGGCAGAAAAAGCTCTCTTTGACAGGAAGAAAACTCTGCCATCTGCTACAATAAGGTGGGGTGGTGGAAGTGAGGGTGGGGGGCACAGGACAAAAGACACATTGTGGAAATGCAAAGTAGTGTATAAACAAATAGATGTTGGGGGGGAAAAAAGGTGAATGACAGCGCATGTTTGTTTTCAATAAGTCGTCTTGCTGTATGTCAGTAATGATGTGTGGTTTAAGAGTTCCCTTTAATTTTTTTCATTGTTGGTGGTATATATATTTTAGAAATTTATGTAAAATATGTTTAAGTGGAAAAAGGAAACTGAACTTGACCTTTAAAATGTTGTTGATAAAATTAGTTAAATTAAAGAACAGTTTTTTTTCTTACTCTGCAGTGTAACAGCTTATTCCCATCAGTTTTCCATGATAAAGTCTTAGGTTCTCTAAATATTTGAATATTAAAATGTATTTCTGTTTGCCCCCCGCAGAATCTGGAGGTGGTGGTGGTGGTGGAGGTGGCGGTTTTGGAGGTGGAGCCCCAAAAGGAATGGGCGGCCTTTTCCAAGGAGGTGTGCCAAAGTTACGCCCAATTGGAGGTAAAACATTTATGCTATTTAGCACATACGTGTTTGCCCCAGTTTACTGTATTTGGATCAGCCGTTATCATTAGTGTGAGTAAATAACAAGAAGAGAGGACACCTGAAGTCAAAGCTCTGAAGGGAAAACCCTGTCATGCACATTACATCTGTCAGCAGATTATTCCAGAATAAGAAACGGCACATGAAGAGAGAGAATAAAGCTCCTTTGGCTTTTCTCCCAAGCTTGTACTTTTTATTTTTCTGTCCATCATTTTGTGGTTATAGAAATAAATAATTTACACTGCAAAAATTCACAATGCTTGGACCATTAATAATGAATGAAAGTCTAAAACTTACTATTTTAGTTGAATGTTAAATTATTGAACTGTTACACTTCATATGCAGCAAATAGCTTCAACCTTTAACTTCTTCTGCTGCTTGTTTGAGATTTTTATAATGGATGAATATAAGATCTTAGCAGTCAAAAGTGTAGCTCCGTGGAGAAACGAAAGTTTCCAACTAGTGTTAATGTAACCATAAGCTGGTCAAACTTGGTTACCCACCCCCCTCACTAATTAAGCAATAATGTACAGCAACAACACCACAAGATTGTACTGCACAGTTTAGCGAGAGGTTGGTATATAAAGCAGTATTATCGACGAATCAGTGAGCAACAGGTCTGTCATGTGACTGATTTGTGCAAAAATCATCTGATTGTAGTATTTAACTCGTCCACATAGGGCTCGGCGATATATCAAATTGTGAGATTTTCCCACGTATGTTGGTTAAAATGGCTTTATTGTAACCATTAAGTAAAAGTTACCATGGAAATATTAAGCTGTCTGCGTGTAATTATTTTTTTCCCACATGCTGCGAATGCATCATTAATCCCCAACCAGGAAAAATTTCTACCTGGCACACTGCATTGAGCGTGCGTGTTTATATATTACCCGATAGAGAAAAATATGGTGACAGCGGGAGTTTCAGAGCGAGAGTATGAGACTCACTGGGAGTGTTAAGTCCTTAAGTACTTCCTTATTATTTTGCTTCCAAAACAATAATACTTGCTTCCAAGAAACCAGAGTTGTTTTTTGTTGTTGTTGTTTTTTTCCCCAGTGCTCTTTAGCTGTAGTTCTCGAGGCTTTCATTGGACATTGGCTGCTGTTTCTTTTTTACTGTTACTTTTTTTTTTTTTTTTTTTTTTTTTGTCTACACATAATAGACATAACTTGGCAATTGATCAATTTTAAATTGTATGGCCTGTATTTATATAGCGCTTTACTAGTCCCTAAGGACCCCAAAGCGCTTTACATATCCAGTCATCCACCCATTCACACACACATTCACACACTGGTGATGGCAGCTACATTGTAGCCACAGCCACCCTGGGGCGCACTGACAGAGGCAAAATTGTAGCTTGAAGCACTTTGTTCCTGCCAGCCTGTTGCAAAAACACATAACCTTTTTAAAAGTGTCAGTATTCAATTAACGAATTAGTCCATTGTCAAATTGTTTATCAAAGCTGCTTTGATGAAAGGTTGTAATGTTCCTGTTTGTATATAAATAAAGGAGCATCTGTTGGGTTTCAGGTGTTGAGATTAGTTATAATGAAGCCATAACTTTAATTCTATGAGTGGTGGGGGAAACTAAATAAAATTATTCAAGAAAATAATGTGATGAATTCATAATGAAACTGTTTTTCTTGAAGCTGTAGCCCATGCCAGTGCTGCACTTAAACACTGCCTCTCTGTCTTCCACACAGACGGTCCTGCTGGTGGTTCACTGGGCAGATCTGCGCTACGGCCCCCGGGGTCCCGGTCAGCGGCTCCTCGTCCTCCCACAGGCCGGTCCACCTCACCGTCACCCCCCAACAAGCCCTCTGCACCAGAACATTCACGCTCACACCGCCCCTCGCTGCCTGACATATCCCACTCCTCCAGCGGTAGCAGTGGGATGAAGCACAGCACCTCTGCACCACCACCCCCACCACCCTTTAACAGAGGTGGCCGTGGAAATGCCCCACCTACCCCAAGCCAGAAAGCATCTCTTGCACCTTCCTCATCCTCTTACAGCAGAGAGAAGCCCCTTCCACCAACACCTGGAAGAGGTCCAGCCCCGCCCAGCAACGTAAAACCTCCGTCCTCCAGCAGACCACCTACTGGAGGCTCTTCTGCTCCTCCTCCTCCCCCGCCATACAGACCACACACATCTGGTGGTGTCTCTAATGGGCCATCCCACGGCGATGGAGGTGGAGCTCCAGAGCTTCCCCAGAGGAATAACTCCCTTCATAAAAAACACACATCAGGAGGCAGCAACCAAGGACGCAGCCATGCCCCACCGCCACCTCCATCATTAACATCGTCATCCTCTTCTCAGCAGTCTAACAGACCACCTCCACCTGTCAGAGATCCACCTGGACGCAGAACAGGTACGTCCCAGAAATCTGTCAAAAGTGCAACATTGCACAATTTTTTATTTATTTTTTTCCTGTGATTGAAATTCTCTCGTTCATTCTCAATCATCTCTAATTTGACATGAAACCTAACCTCCATTGTTGATCTAATCCATTAATCAACTCATCGTCTGAATGCCCAGATTTACTTCATATATACAATAAAGATATGGCTGATTGTGAACGTTGAAGAAGACCTCGTTATTCTTTATTTTGAGGAGAAATGTTTATAATGAAGGCAAAGCGAGCCTTGGCTCATTATCTCTGAACCTTCAAGGTACAATCCAGGATAACGCTGCAACGTTTTCTACACATGACGGGCTTCTATCCTCTGAATCTGACAGTAGTGCAGAACGATACAAAAAAATGTGCTTCGTCTTGTTCTGTGTGATGTATAAATCCTTCTTTTGGCTGCAGCATTTCATCAAGTTCCTGCACAGATACTTGACAGTAGTATAATATTTCTTATAATTACAGCTGCTTTTGCATTTTGGGAAATGACCTTTTTTCCCCCCTTATTTTGTCAACAAGTGAGGACATTAGGATATTTTAATATGCGGAGCAGATATGCTGTTTTTTGGTATTTATAAGTATGCTAAGTTGGGTGGATGCCATGTGGATGACACATCTTAGATGCTTCTGATGTTTAAAAAACAAAACTTAAAAAAACTGGGGGATTTAGGACAGCCACACCTACAAAGTGCCCTAGTTACAGATGAAGTTCTCCACGTCTGACGTGTCAAATGATGATTTTGTTTCCGCTTCAGAAAAGATTTACGGCACACTGGAAACAGTCACAATTTGAATTCAAAGCAAATACACAAAACAGGAAGGCACTTGTTAGCGTGAGTTCTGGCTTGTGATTGAACGGTGAAACGATTTGCTACAAGGTCTCCTGGTTCCTCTGCATTCCTGTAGCCCTGTGGAATATTCCAGCATTCCTGTTCACCTGGTGTTTTCCCCCACACACACTCGTAATATTAAGTTGCACAGACTTGTTTCAATCGTACTGTTCGCTGGTACTGAAGTCTCTATATTTTAAAAGTCAGTATGAGAACAGATGTTTGGGTTTGTTTTTTTTT